CTAATGATGAGCGGTACATTCCATTCATTGAACATCGAGTGACGGAAATACCAGAGCCTAACGCTCTGACGAGACTGTGAGGGCGCTCGATCGACGTGATGATGAAGCCACTGACTGACGGAGATGGCGAGCGAAGCGGCGCTGAGGCTGAGGACAAGGGCGGAGAACCAGAGGACGTTTGTCGAAATGACATGAGCGGGCACCGGGGTATATGAAGATGCATTCAGGGCAGCGATCATCGGCTGCATGGCATCCGTACCGTCATTCATCTGTGCTAAAGTGCCGATCATAATAAGCATGGCCAGTGTATTGGGATCGAGCGGTTGCGGCTGGAGATTGACGTAGTATTGGACGTTGAAGGCGGTCAGTGCGGCAGAGAACAGACCAGCCTTTGTTGTCTGCATTCAGCTGCTGTGGGAGTCCGTGAGGCGAGGTAACCACTCACGAAAGTCAGGAGATTGCTGATTTCGTCCTTCCACTTCTTGACCACGAGCTCCTCTCTTGTCCACACCTGCTCCGCACAAAGCTTCCAAGCTTCCAGAGCCTGCGTATCATCCTCGTGGCCTTGCGGTACTGGTTTGAGTGCTTCTCCTGCACCACTAGCTTCTCTGACCGTCGAATGTGCGTTGTTCTGAGATATTCCAACGACGGCGTCAGTCGGACGTCATGATAAACGCCAAAGGAAGCCGTACCTGTAGAGGAGCGTGTGACGATTCCATAGGTGCACCTACTATACCTCTTCCGTCCTCTGCTACCGCGGCTTGTTCTGGCGCTTCATTAATTGCCTGGGGAGGGTTGATATGGCCGTCCTGTAATCCTCTTCAGAAAGCCGTTGTAGGGCAGAAGGACAGGAGCGCACCTTCACAGATGGTACCCTACGCTGTTCAATTGCCGCTGAGACATGAACGTGGGAGACGCGACCTGCGATGGGACCATTGGACATGATATCATTTCTTTCATAAATATCTCCCTGTTTCACTATTGTTAGCGATGTTCATCATACGCTGACCGCTAATTCTAGTACGTACAATAGCGGCATTGGATGAGGGATCATTTTCTGTACCATACAAAGGGGATACGATGACTGTTTCGAGTACGGTCTCCCTCGACGGAGATCGAGTTTGCTGGTGACTAGTCTCCATGGTCGCGCTCTTGTCAATGTGGACGTCAGGAAGGATTTTTCCCTGCCCAGTAGGAGGGTTCGCTTGGGGTGCGCTAGCTGCGAAGATGCTTGCGTTCGACGTTCTCCTTGAATGGCTTGAGCTTCTGCGAGAGCGTCCGCTGCCCATGATGTACTCGCTGTGAGATGTGCTAGCGGGAAGCGATGAAGGGAAAAGGAGGAGTGCAGTGCTACGTTCTGCCAATCTATCATACGGTGAGCATCTGCACGTGCGACATAGGACAAGGAACATCATAATAGGCAATGACTGCGGGAGACAGTGTCAGTAGAAGCAGTGATGCAATGGCAGCCGACTAACATGCGTTTCGATTGCTATCTTCTACCGCGATCGGGATGCACACAGCGAGATGAGGATGGACATATGATGTGTACGTGAGGTGAGGGTATGTCTGTCAAGTTCCGATCATACGCGAAGGTTCATCCCGTGCACGTTGTTTACGGATAAACTGTGTGCACATCACGAGGACTTCATGCCTTTTGATTTGACGTTTGAGGGTTCATAGTGCACGACTAAAGGAAAGACGACGAGTCAGTGCTTAGGTACAGCATTATGCATGAGGAAACGGGAGTAGCCAGAGGGCACAGCCCGCAATCGTGAATATGAGGTGAGAATGATCGCTTCGAAGAGGCAGCTACCAGAATTCGCCCCTGATCCAACCAAAATATGAATGCAGGAATGAGCCTTAGCTCATTATGGTGCAGTCAAGGCAGGGAGTATGAGTAGATACGACGTCCACCATATTCAAGCATGCAAGGGATGATGGACGGACGATGTCCCGACGCAGGGAAATTGGCCATATCGCCAAATGTAGGCGTGTATGTTTAAGCATTGTTGTCATTTGATTAGCGATCCCCCAGTGGACACTGCCCAATGCACATGTATTTAAAGTTTGATACAAGCACACACAGGTACCGTCTGTCGCTGAGGCTGTAGCGCTGCCTTGACATCCGGGCGTCTCTTAAGGACGCAAAATCGGGATGTGGGCGCATATTGGCCGAAAATGCAGCTAGCGCGATGTGGGCCTATTTCAGGGAGTACAACCCGCCTGCGACCAAGAAGCCGTAGCAGACTCGGATCGAGGCATCAGCCACGCCTTTATCGCGTGTCGTGTGAAACGGGGATCTCATCAGGTTCGTGATGTGCATCTCGAGTGTGCAGTACGTACTGCTCCCGAGACCGGTTGAAATGATGTTGAAATGGATAGAATACACGTGGCGGAGACAAGTAACACCAATCAACAAGTTCTTCAAGAACGTGGCCAGCTGATAAGATGAACGCATCGTGCAAGGGTGCAAATGTCATCGAGGGGGAGAATCGACAGGAGGTTGCGGATTTGGAGGGAATTGTTGGTGTATATGGACCAGTTCTGCTGCTTTTTTTGACCTCATGCGCACGTAGCATGAAAATATGGCGAACTAAAACTGATGGTAGTGCAAGTGACGTAAGTAGAGACAAGTGGTATGCCTAAGAGACACATGATAGAACATGACGCGAAACAGGTGACAGGATTACGCCGTGCGACCCAATCGCCTCGCCTGAGTCTCCCTTGTGCCCAGCGCTCAAGATCGCTCGGAGCCGCTAGGCCATAGGAGCAAGTTGACGGAGATAAATGAGTTCACCTCGAGATGACAGTCCGGACGTGTCGAGTAAACAGTGTATAGAAGGGCATGTAAGATCGGGTGAAGATCACGGATGGGCTCGCATTCACTAAAAGCTAGAGTTTTTGGTCTCGACCCAAGATTTACACTGGGAGATAATGGTGTAGCGGATTTCGGACGGGAGTTGCGCTGGACCTTGTGGATGACAGAGTGCGCCGGCCGTCTGGTAGAAAATGAGTATTAAAGCCTTGCATGTCCCGTGCAGCGTTGAATCGGTATCAACGAACACTCGTGCCGGTAAAGCGCAAGCGTCCGGAAGCTCTCAGTCTTCCACCACCCTCCACGTGCAGCAGTATTTAGCATTATGAACAGAAGTGTTATGTTCATTCATGGCAGGGGCAGCAAGACGACTATCGAGATTAGGCGCCTGTGACGCGGCCTTGGTTGACGTCATTGTCATGTCCTTTCCATTGCACACAAGCTGTCTACTCACTATGTACACGCTCACGAATCTCGCGACAGACTCCCTGAGGCATAATACCATCCCTCAGACTGCCGCTGCAATACAGAAGTGCTTCCGCGCGGCTCATGAGGTCCATGAGGGTCTCCGAGGAGATGGATATTGCGAATTCCTGAATCGAATCTTCGGGAGCTAAATGCGTGATGTGACTTCAGGTGTGTAGCGCTGCACTTGACTGTTCAAGAGGAAATGTCGCGGAGTCAAGAATCGCCCAGGCGACAACACGGAAGGTAGGGCGCGGTGAATCTGGTTACCTTAATTAACAGCGACCTGATTTACCGGTTAATCACCGGTAGATTATCCGGTAATTTACCTAGGGTCGAAAACATGGGTGTTAATCTGGGTTAATCTGGGAATATTCCTCGCCGACAAGTCTTTTGATCTGACTGTTAAATTCCTGCAGGACGTTCTGGCTGGTAGTGCGGATTCCCGGAAGGAACTGCAGGAACGCGTAATGTCAGCGAACATCGCGAGCTCAGTCGAAGTTCGCGCGGAAGACCTGGACTGGGATGCGTGGTAATTGACGGTCAATTTCGTAATTCACCGCTTTAGGCTGTTAACTAACGTTAATTAGCACGTAGACGCTGGTGGGTTAATTAGCCGTTAATTACACCTGTTCATCTGGCCCCCTAATAGGCCTACTGCTAATTTACGGTAAATTAGGAAGCGATTCCAGATTCACCGCGCCCTAACGGAAGGAGTGCGGGAGACGAGGTTAGACGCCCGACAGACCGAGATCGGGCGCTTATAATGCGACGTCATCGCTCTGGTCGTTCTCTGCGTTGTAGAAACAGCAGACCCCGACTTTTGCACATCCATCAGAGTGTGGCGCGCGCAGATTATCTCCATGCATATCTCGTCCATTCAATGGAATGACGTCCCAGAACTGTTACGGCATTTTGCTGCCTGCTGCACACGCGTCGCGTTATACGGGTCCGTCCTTCCCGGTCCTATGCTCGATTGTCTGCCTCCAAGGTGCGCGGCTTGTGAAATCTTAACAGCAGATATATTTCACAGCTGCCACCGGCGGATGTCAGTCAGAGACTGAGCAAGCTCGCTGGCCATGGTCAATTTTCGAAACGGGTCTTGACTAACGCGCAGGAATGACCACGGTCATCTATGGTTTTTCCCACTATCATCATTTCTGTTACACCGTATAGGCCACCTGACCCTTGGCGACTCAGACGTCTAACGAGCACTTGTGTCTGTAAGAGAACGGGCGAGTGAGCTGGTAGTCCCTAGCCTCATTATTGACTCACGGTAGCTGATACACATCTGTAATTTGAAAGCGTTGTAATTCTCCCACACCCATTCATAACGCCCGCGTCGCGCTCTACGCGCAGTGTTGTGGGCAAAACTCGCTCAAACATTCGTCAAGCGCCGGCGCCACGCGGGGGCTCATGGCGACTGTTGGCAAGGGTGGCGCAACTGGCGAATGGTATTAATTCACATTCGGAGGTGACAAAGATTACGCAGTGCAACTACAAAGGAATTCAGGCTAGTGCCAGTGAGGCGGCATGGGAGAGATAACAGATGTTGGATTGCGTGAGAGATTCTACCCCAGATATTGTGCTCACAGTATGAAGTAGGCCTGACATGTCCGAGTTGCGTCCGAAATCGCAGGCGCAGCGATTGGGCGCAGTGTTGCGAACACTATCTACGCTCCCTCGTACACAATGGCGTTGAGCAACATATCCTGATAGAGCGCTGGGTCGAGGTAACTGCTATGATGTGCGACAAGACATCCCCCCATGGCTCTGCCCATAGCTCGTCGCGTCGCGTCTGACAACACCTGAGGACAGAATTATAGGCGAGCGCCTCAAGGGATGTCTATATGCGCCTCAATCAATGTCTGACGCTGCCCAACTACCCACCAGACAGATGTATTTAGTATGCGGGATCTTGTAGTAGCACGCGGTATGATGCAAATCTCGCCAGGAATGGATAATGTAACGTTACGAGCTCGCGAAAGTGTACATACTACCTGTAGCTTAACGCAAAGATTCCAGCCTGCTAAACGGACGGCAGTACGACCATATGTACCCCGTGTTCTCCCACTTACAGCGCCTACTGCATTGAAGTGCCTTCGACCACCTGTGGGTACTCCCTCTGTGTTTCATCGGTATCTTGCGACGATGGTGCAGGGCTGACAGTTGCCTCAGCAACGGGCTCATCAGGAATGCTATATATCATGTCAGAGCTGGGTATGGAGAGCAGGACGAGGCACTTACGAGTCGGTGGAGTGGCCCAAAGTACTGTATATCCTGTACATTTGAAATCTGATGTTATCACCCCACCTTTCGGGGCCTCGTGATGCACATCTCTCCAGCACATCGATGACATACGGTTAAAACAGTGTATCATCGCGAGTAGGCCGTGTGATATCCGCTCGCGCGAGCTCGTAACATATATAGAGGAGGTCCGAGAATTCGTCCCAAGTGCTCGCCTGGACCACGTCCTCTAAGCAAAACAACCTGCAGTACTCGACAATGACGTCTAGTGCAATACGAACATCGTTATGAACACGATCAAAGTCGTCATGCGGGAGTCGTGCGGAGTCCAGCAGTGCTGAGGCTGTGATCTCGAAATATCGCTTGGTATCGAGCCACATGCGGGCGTGTGGTAGAGATGTGAGCAGTTTCCGAATGTCTGCGGAGTGCGCTGTGAGTGCTAAGTGGACGACTTCTGGATGGATGGGACGTGACGGCGTACATATAGAAGAAGGTAGTTTATGTCGTCCTTCCAACGCTCCATTCGCTTGTCTTCAAATGTCCAGACCTCCTCCGCAAACCTCGCCCACCCTGTCAGCTCCTCTTTCTCCGCTGTTTTCGCATAGGCACGACCACCGTCCGCGTTCAGCATGACCTTGAAGTCATTGGGCTGAACGCGGCCTTGCTCGTCTGTCGTGTACGGTAGACGACCGTCGTCGAGATCTTTGCGTCGTCCCTCGTGGTCTCCGGTAGTCGTGTCTTGGTTCCCATTTGTATCAGGTCGCTGATGTCCGCAAATGAGCATTTAGAGTTGCTATTATTATCACATGTAGGCGTACCAAAGATGTTCCAGGACACTCTCCCTGGGGCTGCGTGGGGGGCGTGTCGTTATCCTTCGCTCTTGTCGCAACATGTATCTGGTTACACTGGTGTCAGTACATGTAGCTGGCAATGGTGTAATGGCGCATACGAATGATTCCCCCTCCGTCTATTGCTCCGTTTGCTGTGCAGGAGCTGACCCATTGGTAGCCTAGAAGGTTCCTCTTTAACGACTATCGTGCCTACGACGAACGATATTACCTCTCGACACACGCTCGCTCCCGTAGACTGCTTGGAGGCTTGGCCATCATCTGGAGCTTTGATTTGCACCGGGGGGAGCCATCCATTCTCAACCTGCTGAGTGTGATCTCACTACAGGTCTTCGTTATAGAACCCAGTGGCTTACCTCATGACAAGAGCTGTCGAATGCTGCCTGAGCATTAGTCGCACTGCCCTGAGCATTCTCAAGCTCTGATGACGGAGCCGCAGCTTTCTTGCGGGTCTCCCCGTTGTCAACAGCACTATATGGGGCACCGGATATGCTGTGCTGGTCCGTCACGGACGTAGTGGCTGGTTCGTTGACTGAGCCTATATCTCCAGTGGTAGTATCACAAAACCTACAAACCCACCTTATAGCTTGATAGTTAGGGGGGGAGATAAAGCACTTAAGTATGGGGGAGGTAATGCTGTTAAGCGCAACAACGAAGTGAATAGAACTGGGGGGCAGGGTGCCCTAGGATGCTGCCTTATATACATGAGGGAAAACCCCCCAGGGACCGGTAATGGACCCCTGGTACCTAGCTGGGTAAGGATTACTAAGTATCATGTGCTCTATGATGTCATATATGATGTCATAGTCTGGCCCTGCCCTGCCCTGGGCCTAGGGTCCAGAATTGACCGGCCTATGGCCTAGTGCCTGAGCCTAGCTCCTACCTATGATGTCAGAATGATGTCATGGTCCAGAAGGAGTCTGGTTTCTATCTAGAAAAGGTCCGGCATCAGAGTCCAGCCTGATGTGTCCAGAACAAGATCATGTGTCGCTTATTTAAGCGGATAACCCCTTAGATATGCAGCTGTCCCATATGCGGACGGATAAGTATGGATAAGTCCCTATACCCTTTG